AGTCATCAGTTTCTCAGTGGCCAAAAGCTAGCAGCAACTGTCTGTGTTAACACACTCTGCGGGCGGTTCTGTACGTGGCTGTAGTTTTCTTTCTTAGTAAGCTGGCGTCAGGAGAAACAGGGAAGATGACTTTGTTTTTTGGATTAAAGAGGCGTGGCCACACCCACTCTTTGGAATCACGGGCACATATCCGTCTCCGGCCTTTACGCCTTCAATTTTACTCTGGTTAGGGCTCAAACGCGCACCAATGTCAGCCTCTGTTACTCAAAACACAAAAATGTTTCCCAGACAATACTTGAGAGAGCCCAGGGCGCAGTGAGGGGTGCCGGTGCTCAGGGGAGGGCCGGCCGGCGCCCATCCCCGGGCAGGGGCAGAGCCGTCCTCCTGCACTTCCAGCAGCCGGCACAGGCCACGGGGCGTCCCACAGTCGGGGACAGCATAGGCAAGCGGGTGACCGCCGCCAGCCACACTGCCGGTCTGAGAAGGCTGCGACTGGGCGCTGCGGCGCACGGCCTCCCCCGCCAGGAAGGGGGACGGCAGCTCCGAGCCGGCCACCTCACTTCCGAGCCGGCCACCTCACTTCCGAGCCCTTCGCACGGGCAGAGGCTAAGCCGGCTCTTCTCCGAGCCTCTGCCCAACCGTCCTGCCTCCGCCAGGGCGATGTCAGCTGGATTTGGTGTCCGTCGTCTGCGCAGCCACTGAAAGGAACTGCCTCCTCGAAATGAAAATGATCTACTCAAAAGAGACACCGACAGACAGTTGCAAGCTCAGGCCCGTCTTCGGCGCTTGCTGTCTTCCTACAAATACACGGACAGTTCTGCCCCATAGCCGCGCCCGCCCGCTCTGCTCTCAGAAGGCCGTGCTGCCCCTCGTCCAACGCAGGACTGACTTTCTCTCGTTCCTCTGAGTCAGCACATCCTACACAAGACCCCAGGACGCGGTTTGGAGGCGCGTTTGTAGACACGAGCTGGAAGAGAGACTGTCTGCCGGGTAGCACCTGGGCTGCCCCCGCGGGCCTCCGCCAGCTGACAGAGGAGCAGGCGCCGCTCCAGAAGGAGGAGGTCGCCTGGGTCAAGCCTCAAGGAACGGCTGTAAATGCAAACTGGAAAAAATTTTTCTACTTAGTATTTGATTCTCAAAGAGGCAAAAAAAAAATTCACAAGCTTAGAACAAGGAGGAGGAAAACCAAGGCGGCGGAGCATAAAATTAAGCAAAAACAGCAACACGCTCAGAAGACACGCAGGTCTCTGCTCGGCGGCCCAGCCGTGCTCACACGGTGCACATGCGCGTGTAGAGGCGTGTGCGTGTTTTCCTCTAAGACGTTAGAAAGCAAAAAAAAATTTCAGCTTGTATTTAAATTATAAATTATATTTAAATTACATAAGAAGTATTTGAGTTTGTGTTTAATTCTGACTCCTCTTCATACACTGCTGAACGCGATGCGGTTTACTACGCGGGCTCTGTACTTGCTTCGCCACGTCTCGTAATGCACCCAGCTCTCATAAGCTGCTTTTCCCCGGCGAGCTCCTCGTGTGAGGGGCACAAGAGCTTAGTTGGCTACCGACAGGAAATGCCCTGCCACCACAGGCCAGATTCACTCCAAGGACTCAACTGCGAACCCACAGTGTCATTGCACCCATGGCCTGGAAAAAAGTGACTAGAAAAATTTTACACCATGTTGAAAATACCTGGGAAGGAATTTCAGCGTGGGGTAACCCCCTGGCAGAGCTCTAGGAAAGCTCGGCTGCTGCCTGGCTCGACTCCACAGTCCCCGTCTCTGCCTCCACTGCCCTTCTCCCCCATCACTGTTCAGAGCCCCTCCATGTGGGCCCTTGGGCTGTCAAGGTGATCAGTCCAGCCTGAACCCTAACTGCCCACACCTTCCTGCTAAACCCTACAGAGCTTGGGAACCAAAAATATTTAAATTTGAGGCTCTAGGATTCATAGTTTTATTAAGTTCAACCTTCAACCAAGAGTGCGCTGGAACTCTGAAGCAAAAGAACAGCATTTTTGGCAACAAAATTCAGCTTATAGTCTAGTAAGTCAATGGTGAGGTGGCTAAACGCTGCTCGCCTCCCTCTCTGCCCGACAGTTTCTACCCATCCCCAGTTCAAGCAGTTTCTACCCATCCCCAGACGGAGTTTCAGGAATGGAGACTAACATTCGTCTAATAAGAATGTAACTGAGGGGGGCCTCCCCGGTGGCGCAGCGGTTGAGCGCTGGGCTGCGAGGCTGTTCGCAGCCTCTGCAGCGCAAGTTCGTTCCCCGGCCGCCGGCAAGGGTCCCACAAAAAAAAAAAAAAAAGAATGTAACTGAGGGGTCTTCCCAGTGGTACAGCAGTTGAGTGCTGGGCTGGGAAGCTGCCCGCAGCCTCTGCAGCGCTGTTTTGATCCCTGGCTGCTGGGCGAGGGTCCCACATGGCGCACAGACCTCTCCTGCCGCCCGCTGCTCCCCTCAGCAGTGGACTTCGGTCCTTCTGCCTGCTCTGCTCCCCGCTCTGGCTCTGGTAAATTCTCTCACCCTCCCGCGCTTCTGACTGTACCCAGTGCTTGTATAAATAAATAAATAAATAAATAAATCTTAAAAAAAATGCAACTGAGAAGCCAACGTAGGGTGCCCCCACCTTCCACCCCCAAATTCAAACTTAGGTGAAACATACGCCAGTCTATGGCCTGTGAAGTTGATGCCACGTAAAGTGCTGTGACTATTCATTTTTCTGAGTCACCTAACAGTCTTTTTTTCCCTTTAAAAATTAATAGGGACACAGAATTATATTAAATTCTATTTCCAGACATTTCTACTGAAGTTAATGATATTACTAAAGTACCTCTGGGGGCCTCCGGGGTGGCGCAAGGGGTTAGGACGCAACCTATGAAGCTGTCCGCAGCCTCTGCAGCACGAGTTCTATCCCCAGCCAGGGAGCTACCCACATGGCACAGCATACCTCTCCTGGCTCAACCGCTGCTCCCCTCAGCAGTGTATTTCAGTAGATCTGCCTGTTCTGCTCCCCACTCTGTCTGGTGAATCCTCTCACCCCCCCACTCCTCTGGCCTGTATCCCAGTTCTTGTTTGCATAACTAAAAAATCTTAAAAAAAAAAAAAAGGTACCACCACTGGAAGAAAGTACTTTTAGGCTGCTACTTCTCAAAAAGGATGACATGGTAACAACTGGGGTGACTCTTCACTAGGGGCATGCTGGCCACCAGGCCCAGACAGACCGCCCCGTGCCTCCCACTCCAGAGATGGGCCGCCCCACACAGCAACACCAGCTCCATGGGACGACATCCATTTGCGCTAGTTAAAATCAAATAAAATTTCAAGTTCCATTGATAGTCACACCTGCCAAATGTCAAGAGTTGGACAGCACTGCAGGTGGCGACGGGCATCCCAGGCAGGCAGACCCAGACAGACCACCTCTGCCACTGCAGCACCGTGCCAGGGCGGGGGGGCATGCTGCAAACACTTCTATTTAAGCAAAAAATAGAGACAAATGCCTCATAAATCAGATCTGAACAAGTCTTACATCATATGCAACCCCAGCTGCTGGTAATTATTTTGAAATTGTGGCTTAAACAAAAGCCCACACCACCAGTGAGCAGAAATGGGGCGTGACTAAAGGAGAATATAAGCAGCCCTCAAAGAAACATAGCTAAAAAGACTGACCTCATTAAAAGTGCCGAGAGGACATTCATTGGATATTTCAAAAACTGTGCTTTGAAACTCAAATAAAAAACGAAGCTGCATGGCAAACCTCCCCAGGCCCAGGAAGCTCGGCGCCATCACCAAGGGGCCAGGGCTGGCCAACGTACCTAGCTCCACGGCCTCCAGACTGCTCACCGGCTCCAGCCCTGCAGGCCCGAGCGCCCACTGTCAGACGGTCAGGAGGCGGTCCAATGGAGGGCTCCCACATCATGACAATGTCTCAAAGGAACTAGACAGCCAACATTAACTTTAGGAAACATCTGATCAAATGATCACAGACATGGAAACAGCCAGCTATTTAGAGTAAACTCAAAGGGACTAATCTTTCAAAAAATTAAGTCAAAAACTACTCTTTAAAAATAAAAATGGGCCCTTTCATTTTTTTTTTTTTTAAGATTTATTTTTATACAAGAGCTGGGGTACAGGCCAGAGGTGCAGGAGGGTAACAGGATTCACCAGAGACAGAGCAGGGAGCAGAACAGCAAACGGACCAAAATACACTGCTGAGGGGAGCAGCGGGCAAGACAGGAGAGGTCTGCTTGCCATGTGGGTAGCTCCCTGGCTGACCGGGGATCCAACCTGCGCTGCAGAGTCTGCAGACAGCTTCACAGCACTGCGCTCAACCTGCTGCGCCACCAGGGAGGCTAAAAATGGGCCCTTTCAAAGAAAATTTAAATGTTATCAAAGTTCTACCAGAAATGTATCGACCAAATGTTTGTATATATGGTCAGCAAAATGCTAAAATGACGCAGATATTTAGGGGATCTTATACTTGTTAAGATAATTTAACAATTAAGGCATTTTACCAGAAAAGTGATTAAGTAATATAAAAACTAAGATTATGAATCTAACAATTTCTAAGTTTTAAAGAAATCTCAAAGGAAGGTGATGCATAAATCAGCTCCACAGAGACCGATCTTTGGCCACTGGGCCTACCCGTCACAGCTTTCTCAGTTCTGCTACAAAACACGCCTTCTTTACGCAGAATTCTACAAGCTAGTCAAAAATGTTAACAGGTGCAAAGCCCAAGCATCATCAAGCACTAGGAAAGATTTAACCAACATTAAACTTTTTCTGGGTATAAAATTGGGAATATTTATACTCATTTCCTAATAAATAAGAAGTGAACAGAAATTCACTTGAAATGGAAGCAGAAGTCAAGCCGCGAGGCCCAGGGAAGTCCCAAGCCACACACTAAAGCATCTCTAGCGTCACGTGGAAACAGCTCCCACAACCGCGCGGAGCACTTGCCCCTGAGGCTGGGAGGAGCAGGCTGGGAGCAGCTGCCCGGGACTCACCATCTTGAGGATGGCGCCGTAGAGCCGCAGGAGCACCTTCCGGGGCTCGTCACCGACGGGGGCCACGGTGTCAGGGAGGGAGCACTGGAACAGCATGTTGCTCAGGCCACCTCTGTGGAAAGACAAGGAAGGTAAGTGTCTGTGCTCTGGAGGTACGCGACGTCGCTCTCCTTAGGTAAGCGCATTGGGAAGTCGGGGCCTCTCAGCTCGGCTCCTCTCGGGGGTCCCTCTCGCCCGCCAGGGGGCCAGCTGCCACACAGACCTGTCCCTCCACAAGCACAAGCCCCGGGGGATCCCGCCCGCCACACCGAAGACCAGCGCTGTCTGTCTTTCTGGGGCACATTCTGGCTCAACTGCAGGTGAGACCTACCCAGGCACCCGCCTCTGGAAGGAGGACCTGAGAGCCCACTGGGTCCGCGATAATCCACAGCTCCCACGGTAGCCCCCATGGGTCACCTTTACGGCACCTCCTGGCTCCTCCACCTAAGAGCAGCTCCCAGGTAGACCCCTTCATTCCAGGGTTTTGACTCACAGGCTTCCCCCAAAACGTGTGACATTAACTGCTGATGGCGGAAACGGGGTTGCAACACGAGAGGATGAGTGGACGCGGCTCCCTGCCACCGAGCTGACCCCGCAAGACCGCCAGAGCGGGGACTGTCATGCTATGTCTCTCACCACAACTGTAAAGTGACGCGTGCTACAACATGATGAACCTTCAAAACACGATGCCAACTGCAAGAAGCCAACACAACAGGCCACGTGGTCTGTGATTCCTCCCCACGAGGCGTCCGGCACTGGATTGCTACGGAGACAGGCAGCAGGTAAGCTGCGAGGGCTGGGCAGCAGGCCAAAGAGGACAGGGTGTCTTTCTGAGGTGACAAAAATGTCCTAGACAAAAACATGGGGCCTCCCTAGTGGTGCAGGGCTTAAATCTCAGTGCTAGCAAGCTATTGCCAGTCACCGAGGCCTGAGTTTGATGCTGAGACCTGAGTTTGATCCCCTGCCAGGGAGCTACCCACAGGGCGCAGCAGACCTCTCCGGTCTCCCCGCGGCTCCCCTCAGCAGTGTGTTTCGGTCCACCTGCCTGTTCTGCTCCCCACTCTGTCTCTGGTGAATCCTCTCACTCCCCGCACCTCTGGCCTGTACCCCAGTTCTCATATACATAAATACATAAATCTTTTAAAAATCTTTCTTCAATGCCTTATTCAAAAGAAAAGCCATCACGAGTATCAGGGACCTCAGCAAGTCTAACAGGGAGGGCAGATGAGTTGGGAGAAAGCCCTGGGTGTTCCCCCCAAGCTGCTGTCACCTCTTGTACCCCACCAGCGCCTCCCCCAGACTCCACTGCACCACCCACCAGCCAAGGGCTCTGGCTACCAGGCAACCCAGCCCAGGCGACGGGCTCCAGGAGACGGGGCCCGCAGCAGGACCACACCGCGAGGCCTCGCCCTCCTTCCGGTCACACACGGCGGGGAGCGCAGGCGGGGGAGCAAACAGAAGCAGCACTGTTCTGTCTAAGCTGTGTGACCCCATTCAGAGCTCACCCGCACTCCTGCCAGAGCCCACAGCTGCCGGGCAGACATGCCCGGGGAGAGACCCTCCTGCGCCTCTGTGGGCCGCAGGCGTCAGTGGAAGGATGGAAAACGGTGATTATTTTTTGATGTCAAAATAAATCAAGCAAGAGCATTGTCAAGGAGGCCCCAAATTGTGAAAGGACACCCAGGAAGAGGCCAGTTACCAATGAGACAACATGAGTAAGAACAGGAAGGCAAGTGGAAAGAAATGCCAGAAATGAGCAAAATGACACAGTCCACTTCACCGTGTCGTTTGCGGCAACTCCTCCCAACCAGAAGCCCAGGAACTCGCAAGGATTTCAGCAAGTCTGAAACAACATGCTTTTCATCACCCAGGCTCAACATTAACAGCTTTGTAACTCACACTGCCACAGTGCGGGAGGCATGAGCTACTCACCTACGCAAACTATCAAACCCAGTGAGGAAAACACACTTAGTGTGCGAGCACCACAGGTGAGCCAGGCCGGGTGGGGGGAGGCGGCCCGCCCAGCTGAGCACCCCGCATCCACCACAGGCCCCACACCTCCCACAGCAAATGCACACACAGGAGTGCGGGGAGGTGTGGAAATAACCACGCCCATTTCTCATGTACAACTAATCAAGAATTAACTTACAATTAAGACGAGCAACTCGTCAAATGACAGCACATAAAGGAGAGCTTTTAAAAACACAGAAAGGAGGGCCTCCCTGGTGGCGCAGCGGTTGAGCGCTGGGTTGCGAAGCTGCCCACAGCCTCTGCAGCGCCGGTTCGATCCCCAGCTGCTCCCTGGACACCGGAGGAGGGTCCCACATGGCGCGCAGACCTCTCCTGCCGCCCGCTGCTCCCCTCAACAGTGTACTTCGGTCCCTCTGCCTGCTCTGCTCCCCGCTCTGGCTCTGGTGAATTCTCTCACCCTCCCGAGCTTCCTTTTTTTTTTTTTTAACTTTTTTTTTCAATAGAGGCATTTTTTTTTTTTATTATTTATTTGTTTGTTTGTTTGTTTTGTTTATACATGCACTGGGTACAGTCAGAAGCGCGGGAGGGTGAGAGAATTCACCAGAGCCAGAGCGGGGAGCAGAACAGGCAGAAGGACCGAAGTACACTGCTGAGGGGAGCAGCGGGCGGCAGGAGAGGTCTGCGCGCCATGTGGGACCCTCCTCTGGTGGCCGGGGGGCAACCGGGGATCGAACCGGCGCCGCAGAGGCCGCGGGCAGCTTCGCAACCCAGCGCTCAACCGCTGCACCACGGGGGAGGCCCCCGAGCTTCTGACTGTACCCAGTGCTTGTATAAATAAATAAATAAATCTTTAAAAAAAAAAAAAAAAACACACAGAAAGGAGAGCCTCCCTGGTGGCACAAGGGGTTATGCACCACACTATAAAGCAATCCACAGCCTCTGTAGCACGAGCTCAATCGCCAGCTGGCCAGGGAGCAACCCACATGGCGGGGCAGACCTCTCCTGTCTTGCCTGCTGCTCCCCTCAGCAGTGGATTTTGGTCCATCTGCCTGTTCTGTTCCCCACTCTGTCTCTAGTGGATCCTCTCATCCCCAGCATCCCTGGCCTGTGCCCCAGCTCTTGTGTGCATAAATAAATCATTTAAAAAAAGTTTTAAAAAAATGGAGAAAAGGGGTCTCCCTGGTGGCGCAAGGGGTTAAACACGGTACTATCAGGCAATCCGCAGTCTCTAAAGCATGAGTTGGATCCCTGGCTGGCCAGGGAGCAACCCACATGGCGCAGCAGACCACTTCTGTCTCGCCCGCTGCTCCCCTCAGCAGTGTGTTTCAGTCAGTCTGCCTGTTCTGCTCCCCACTCTGTCTCTGGTGAATCTCTCACCCTCCCGCGCCTCTGGCCTGAACCCCAGATCCTGTATGCATAAATAAACAAATCTTTAAAAAAAATTAGAAAGAAAGTCTAAAACAGCAGATGATCTAGAAATTTTGTTGGCCCAGAAATGGGATCTCTCAGTGAACCACGTAAAGAGGAACTCAGCAAGCTCCACTCTTGTTTTCAAAACAAAAGCCACTCCATGAACTAAAGCCTGGCACTAGACACCGCCTCCCACCCCAGTTCTCCCAGCTGAGGTGACTCATGCCTTCCTAGTGTCAAAGTCTTCTTAGGGCGACAAGTCATCCAAATGACAAGTCGAATATGGACCCAAGTGCTCCAGGCACGTGGTCCGAGCGGGTGCCCAGGCGGGCAGACTGTTCTCGTTCAAGGCGACCAGTTCTGGAGCTTCCAGACCAGTTCACGTTGCTTACACCAAAACACCGGTTACAAAAGACTTCAAAATTCTGATCTGAAGAGTTTCAAAAACAGTTTTAATACCAATTCAAAATGGTGGCTACCCATGGCAAAGAAAGTTTTAGGTTTATCTAACTGACTTATTCTGCCCCACCGTCCTTCTCACCGAAGTGGCCTTTCCAACAGAAGCCAGCAGTCCCACACGAAAAGGCGTCCCAGAGAAACTGACGTGTTGCCTACAGCACAAAACTCTGAGATGTGGCAAAGCCCAAAATCAATCGAGTTCCTCTGAACTTACCACAATGCCCTCCCGGGCCTGCTCGCTCACGGCCAGCACACCATCCAGTTAGTGTGCAGCTGTGCCACTGGTCTGGAGACTTTCAGGAAGAGAGGTAAAATGGAGATCCCCTCACCACCCCCCAACTAAGCGAAAGAGGAAACCCCTCTGGGGAACACAAGTCCGCCACCCTTGAGGCCTGGCTACGTGTTGGGAGGCCAGGGGCAGCACCAGCGCCCCCCACTGGCACAAAAAGCCCAGCACTACCGTGAGCAGTAGAGGAGGTTCTGGGGGGCCACCCTCCCTCTAAAGCTGGGTCATCCGCCTTCTGGCCAGGAGGCCACAGCGTCAACCCCCCCCGGACTGTTCACCTACTGGCCAACAACATCAAAACAACCATCAGGAACCAGCCCTGAAAACTTATTCAAGGGAGAGTTCATGCCGACCATAAATCAACTCCGTGTGTGAGAGGACATCAAAGGGCAAAGCCAACGTGGTGAGAGCCTGGGGCTTCTGCACAGCGGCTCGGGCCCTGGCCAATGCCCATCCCGTCCTCAGAACGGCGTCTGTGGTGGGCAGCAGTTGGTTGGTCATTTTTGCTGAAAAAGTTGTAAGGTGAACAGAGAGGTGAGAGCCTCAGAGCTAGGAAAGTGTGGAAACCCTTTATCTGACAGAAGATCATGGTCGAAAGTTCTGGAGTGAAATCACCCAAGCAGGTAGCAGGTGACCCTGATAGCATCTTTCATCCAGCATCATGTATACAAAGAGCTCCACAACTGACCTGTCTCCTGTGTTTGGAGACCAAGCAGGCCTAAAGGGGTTTACGCAAGGTCTTGACCATACCGTTCCTCATGTCAAATACCTATTTTTTTTTTTTTTTACAAACTTGAAATTACAGTAAACTATACGTAACACGCTAATTAGCCATGTCCACCTTTTCCAGAATTCTCCGTCACAAACGGATCCCTGTGCCCATTAAACACCAGCCTCCACCCCGCCCTCCACACTGGCACCCCCAGTCTGCTTTGTCTCCGTGGACC